ACTGAGCCTGTTTTTTATTTTGTTTTGTTTTGTGCTGTTTTCTTGTGTTTTCTTTTGTGTTTCTTTTTGTTTTGTTTTGTGGTTTTGTGGTTTTTTGTTTTGTTTTTTGTGTGTGATTTTGTGTTTTTCTTTTGTGTTTTTGTGTTTTTTTGTTTCATGTTTTTGTGTGTTTTTTGTTTTGTGCTTGTTTCTGTTTTGTTTTGTGTTTGTGTTTTGTGTTTTTTTGTTTTATGTTTTTGTGTTTTCTTTTGTGTTGTTTTTCTGTTTTGTGTTTTCGTGTTTTGTGTTTGTTTTTGTTTTGTTTTGTGTTTTGTTTTGTTTTGTGTTTTTGCGTTGTTTTGTGTTTGTTTCTGTTTTGTTTTGTGTTTGTGTTTTTGTGTTTTTTTGTTTCACGTTTTGCTGTTTTTGTTTTGTGTTGTTGTTTTGTGCTTGTTTTTGTTTTGTTTTCATTTGTTTTGTGTTTTTGTGTTTTTTTGTTTCGTGTTTTGCTGTTTTTGTTTTGTGTTGTTGTTTTGTGCTTGTTTTTGTTTTGTTTTGTGTTTGTGTTTTTGTGTTTTTTTGTTTCACGTTTTGCTGTTTTTGTTTTGTGTTTTTGTTTTGTGTTTTTGTTTTGTTTTGTGTTTGTTTTCATTTGTTTTGTGTTTTTGTGTTTTTTTGTTTCGTGTTTTGCTGTTTTTGTTTTGTGTTGTTGTTTTGTGTTTGTGTTTGTTTTGTTTTGTGTCTTTGTGTTTTGTTTTGTTTTCCTGATTGCTGTCTGAACACTTTTTAATCTTGCAGGAGAAGGAGGGAGATCCAGTGTCCTTATTACATAGAAGACTCAGGAACCCACGTGGGATGCCACCTGGGCAACCTGTCAGGATTAACGTCTCGCAATTACTTCCTGGTTAACGGAACCAGCCAAGAAATTGGCATCCAATTCTTCGATTCGCTTTTGGACACAAAGAAAATAGGTGGGAATAACACATATGATTTTCCTATTGTTTATAAGTGAAATGGAATTTGCCTGAAAATCTGTGTAACTGAGGCCGGGCGTGGTGGCTCACACCTGTCATCCCAGCACTTTGGGAGGCCGAGGCGGGCCGATCACCTGAGGTCGGGTGTTCCAGACCGGCCCGGCCAACATGGGGAAACCCCATCTCTACTAAAAATTCAAAAATTAGCCAGGCGTGGTGGCAGGTGCCTGTCACCCCAGCTACTCGGGAGGCTGAGAAGAGGCACTTGAACGTAGGAGGTGGAGGTTGCAGTGAGGCGAGATTGTGCCACTGCACTCCAGCTTGAGCGACAGAGCAATGTCTCAAAAATATATATATATATATGCGTAACTTTGGTGCTGTAACAAATGACAACTGAGCTGATTTAACTTCCCTTTTTTTGAGATACAGTCTCACTCTGTCACCCAGGCTGGAGGAGTGCAGTGGTGAAGTCTCAGCCCACTGCAACCTCTGCCTCCCGGGTTCAAGCGATTCTCCTGTCTCAGCCTCCTGAGTAGCTGGGATTGCAGGTGCGCACCACCACGCCCGGTTAATTTTTGTGTTTTTAGTAGAGATGGGGTTTCACCATCTTGGCCGGACTGGTCTGGAACTCCTGATCTCAGATGATCCACCCGCCTCAGCCTCCCAAAGTGCTGGGATTACAGGCGTCAGCCACCGCACCTGGCCTCCCTCTCCATGTCCACCTGGACAGTGTAGACAAACAGGTGTCCCTACTCCACCTCCACCGGGACCCAGTGTAGACAAACAGGTGTCCCTACTCCACCTCCACCTGGACCGAGTGTAGACAAACAGGTGTCCCTACTCCACCTCCACCTGGACCCAGTGTAGACGGGAGGAGACCCTGCCCCACCTCCACCTGGACTCAGTGCAGACAAACAGGTGTCCGTACTCCACATCCACCTGGACCCAGTGTAGACAAACAGGTGTCCCTACTGCACATCCACCTGGACGGGAGGAGACCCTGCCCCACCTCCACCTGGACCCAGTGTAGACAGGAGGAGACC